TCTGGGAATGTTTGGTTAAGTTTTCCCTTATTGTCTTGTAGTGAAGATGAGTTAGTGCTGCTTCACATTTTGTTATGTTACTTTAGCTGATCTATTCTCCTATACTGAAAATTTTCAGGCACAACTAGAAGAGACATGGAAAGCAATGTTTTCTGGGCTTAGATATGCGAAAAACTTCAGTGGTCCAGTCTGCTTTCGCCATGCTGTTATAGCACCATTGGGATATGAGACTCCACTATTCAAAGGGCTATCTGAAGAAATAGATTGCCATGGGGCACCAGCACAAGATCTACGGCAAAACCCTGATGACCGAAAAACTGCAAGATTGTCTGAGTTCGGGGAAATGACTAGAGCTGCTTTTGGATTTCCTGTAAATAGACATCGTCCTGAAAAGCCACCAAATGGTCACAATGTTCTCTTTGTCAGACGTGAAGATTATCTAGCACACCCACGTCATGGTGGTAAAATTGAGTCTAGACTTAGCAATGAACAAGAGGTATTTGATTCATTGCAAACGTGGTCATCTAATCATGATGAGTGCAAAGTAAACCTCATCAATGGGTTATTTGCTCACATGACCATGAAGGTGCAAGTACAAGCCATTCAGGATGCTTCAGTTATTATTGGTGCTCACGGTGCTGGTCTCACACACATTGTATCTGCATTGCCAAAAACAGTGATTCTGGAGATCATTAGCAGCCGGTTCAGACGGCCACATTTTCAACTGATTGCTCGGTGGAAAGGATTAGAATATCATGCCATTAACCTGGATGGATCATTTGCCGAGCCAGCTGTTGTGATTGACAGACTTAAAAGCATAATGAAGAGTCTTGGTTGCTGACTGACAATTTCTTTCTGTGGTTTTGGCTGTGATTATGATCCCTTAAACCTGAGATGAGAATCAAAACTGACCAAGAGTCCTTGCTGCAATGTTGCTTTTACCATTTCCCAGTAGGCTTCACATCGCTCACTTCCAGATTTCCATCGGTCACCCTTGGATGGATAGCTACTACTTTACAGGATCAACTAGTGGCTAACTTAAGAAAGGGGATTCATTTGTGAGTTAAGAGGATGTAGTTCTTACAACCATTATTTGGCAGTGAAGTGAGGTAGGATACGTTCATGTGCAGTATGTTGTCTTTGATCTGCACGACACTATGATGTACAATGGAACACTTGATACCCCTTTCTTGTAACCGGGGTAAAATTTTTTCTTAAAGGTGATTGATGATATTATCAAACTGCTGTGTTACATGCAGTAATTCATGACAGATACGCGTTGGATTTAGTGTAATACATGTACAACACCTCGATGAATTTGAGGATGAATATCCGTCACATAAGATTGTTGGATGTCTGATTTCCATTCCAAGGAAATGCTTTTCTTTTGATTTTCAAGGCGAAATGAAAAGGAAGTGGCGGCACCCTGGGCTTTAATATACCTCTTCCCCTAGAGAGGTATATTAAAAATATAATTTATCTTACAAATTTATTTAAATATTTTTAATAAAATAATATAAAAAATAATTTTATTAAAAGTATCTAACTAAATTTATAAAATAAATTTTACTTTTAATATATAATTTGTACTTTCCATGTCCAATCCACCCTGAAATTTGAATCTCATTTATTATACCTTCTTTTTGACAAAAATTTTCCTAGATTTTGGCTCATGTAACAATGCAGGCATTATACAAAGTCAAGAAAGAATTAAAACTCCGAACTGAAGAGCTGAATGCAGAACAAAGAAAACACATAAAATTAATAAATGAAAAGATTATGTTGGAAGAGATGATTTCTAAACATTTAGCAACTCAAAAGTGTATGTAACAACAGAAGATCCTCAAGCTTTAAGAGCTTCAACCATAAAACAGACTTTAGAAGTTGAAATTTCAAGAAAGAGTGAAGACAGGACTGACAAATAGATTAAGAATAAAAAATTTAGGAGGCACCAGCTCCCTTCCCCTTCTTTCTCTGAATCTTCTTCATGTAGAACTCAAGCTCTTTGCCCTCCAAGATATATCTGTAACAAATCATTGCATTAGAACAGTACAGAGGGTGTAATCATGCAATTTAAACAATAAATAAAGAGAGAGGACAAACAAAACATTGCAAGAAAACACATGAAGAAGCGACACACCCATCAGCACGACCACATTGGCCAGGTCGTGATGAAATACAAGCCAACAAACGACCACTTCCAAATTGCTCCTCAATATGAGGGTCAAGTGTGCGGTTTTGTTGACGCTTCTGCAGCTTCCTCAGGACATGGCTGCTCTTCTTCACCTCCTCAGCAGGGACTTCACCTTCCTATAAAACCAATGAAATGAAGAAAAACATAAACATACAGCTAGCATAGCAACAACCCAAATGTATCAGTATGCTACCTAATCTAACAATATAAGCTAAGTGCTTATCTATTTAAGTTCATGTGCAGACAAATTTAAAGTGGGGTGGAATGGAAATAAGCACCAACAAAACATGAAGACATAACAGCTATAGTTACCCGCAGATGAATATGTTGGCTCTTTAAGAAACAGGAAACTAGATGGTCTCAACACCAAAAAATATAAAACAGAACTTAGGACCTCAACATGTAAAATTGCCCAACCTCTCCATCTTTCTTGGCGGCAGCTGTGAGTTTTTTCTTGCGACCAATGTCAACACCATAGTGCTGAAGATACCACTGCTTGAATGGAGCTGCATCAACTTGAACAATAGCACTCTTCACCAATGTTTGAGTACGAACCAGCTCATTGTTAGAGGCATTGTACACCACATCAAGAATTCTGGTCTTTCGAGTCACAGTCTCGCTTCCCCATGAATAGTTTCCTGTGTCAAGTCTCAGGGCACGCCACTTCACATTCCCACCTCGGACCCTGATCCTCCTAACTGTCTTGTTGCTTGACAACTTTGTGTTTGCAGGTTGCCTTCCAAGCTCGTACCTTTAAAAAAATAAATATAAGATTAATAAAAAAAAATTCCTTTATCAATACAAAGAAATAAAGAATTGATCAATCAAAATTGATATTAAAAAAGGGATTTGAAAATTACTTTCTCTTCTTCCTCCAAGCCTTCTTCTTGCCACCAGTGGCACGCCTCTTGTGCATCGAATCACGGGAAATACCTAAAAACAGCATACAAGATTAACATTACAGAGCTAAGAAATGATACGAACAATCAAGTAATCGACGAGATTTCATTAAGATTCAGAGACATCTGGATGTACCCATTTTGGCAGAGCGAGATTTCTAGGGTTTCTCTGTGGAGCTGGCAACCGATCTCCGGAAGAGGAAGACAGGGAACGACGGAGAAGGAAGGCAACGAGGGTTCCGTTCTGCAACAAAAACCCTGGCTTGTTAACTTACAAATTTACCCTCACTACTTTCGAGTTCATGTAAGGGTAATAATGTCAACAGAACTTATAAATCTGGGTCGGTCCACTCTTTTGTCTTTTTCATATCATGCGGTCCAAGAAGGCCCAAACTGACATAATATTCTGGCCCAATGGAATATGGACATCTTATGTTTCGTTTGGGAGCATTTTTTTTATATTCTACCTCTTGATTCTTTTGTCTTTTTATTATCTTAAAAATATATAAAATAATATTAATAAAACAAATATTAAATATATTATATATTTTTAATATATTAAAAAACTAAAAAACTTATTACTACAATTGCAGCCCAGTA